CCCCCCCCCCCCCCTCGAATGTGCCACGATTTATTAACCTAAAGTCAATCCAATATATAGTGTAGTTCATTGCGGACGGTTGGGCGTGTTCGTGCGGCTGCGTTTGGCGCGGTGCCAAACTCGTTCTCCACGAGTTGTTCAAGCGAGCAAATGACAATACTGTATCATACCTTTCGTATTACTTGTTTTCTACTGCTTTTTGTCGCATGCCCGTTTCAACAAGAAGGCAGAGAACAGCTCAAAGAGGGTGACACACTCATACTGGCTGACACGCCCAACCGTCCGCAGCGAAGTAGAGTGTAAGAGCAGCAAATGGTTCAATAACACACATGATGTTAGTCAAGTATATCTGTATCTGGGTTCTAGACAAACAAAAAGACCATGCTGTTTGATATTAAGGTTATTCGATAAAGACTTTTTGATAAAAGCTCTGTATTGAGGACTTCTCTGGAAATATCGTCAGTAACAAAATGAATTATTTAAAACTGCTAGGCTTTACAGAAAAATTATTTATCAACGAAAACGTTGTGCATGACGGGAGTGCAGGCGGATGGTAAGCAGAGATTCTACAACGTAAAAAATCTCTATGGCTGGAGTGAAGCAAAAGCAACTCAGCAAGCTGTACACACTGCCATGGGGAAAAGAGGAATTGTAATTTCACGGTCAGTCGTATTAAATGGCATTCTTTCAGTGGTAGACTCAGCTGAATTTCCTTAACTCTATACTTTGAGCAATTTTCTTTATTTAACCAGTCGGCTCGTGACGCCGGCGCGCCTCGTACTGTGATAAATCCCGGCTACGCCAAGTGGGCGCGGCTTCGTCGCTGCCAATGCTGCTCCGCAACCAAGCGTGAAGTTCTTGACTCTCTCGCTCACTTCGATGCATGCTCCGCTGACAAAGGGCGTGTCTATCTCACTTCAACAGTTGAGCTCCTGCACATCTCTGCTCACATGTTGACGGTGTATTGACTGCTCTGGAACTATTTTACCGACTTTTTGCCCTAGGGACAGGCTCCGCCCACAACATGTGTGCCCCACATTTCTTGACCAGCGACCCTTCCTATGACCTTAATACACTTTTCTCCGATGTCTAGAGCGCTCTGAAGTTTTAGAGATTTTTTTACCTGGCTCCGCCCATTTCGGAGCGGGCTCCGCCCACAACATGTGTGCCCCACACTTCTCAATCGGCCAGCCCTCGCTGACCTTAATCCTCGTTTTTCCGGTCTCTGGAGTGTTCTGGAACCGAGCTACAAACTTTTGAAATGAGTATCCTGCGGTTGAAGGCTAGCTCTGCCCACAGTGGGCGGTCATACTTCAAGCACGCCCGACACTCGCCAGATATTGCCCTTGTGCATCGATTTTTTGCGTTCTGAACTCTCACCAACCAAGTTAATATATGTTGTGGGAAGCACCGCCCATCGTAAGTAAGCCCCGCCCATTTTGTATGTGTCTCTCAGTTAGTCTGGCACCCCCTTGCTAACATTATGCTCCCCATTTCTGAGCTGCTCCGGAAGCGAATTATGAATTTTTGTCCGCGGTACCGCCAACTTTCGGCGCATGCCCCGCCCACTGTGGGCGGGGCTTCGCATAGGTCAAGTGTGCTTTTTATTTCTTGTCCCATGCCCTACCCATCCCCACCTTGACCCGACCTCTCCAAGTCGTTCTTCAGGTCGAACCGAATTTCCGGACAGACAAACAACGAAGCAGATTACACTCCTTATCCCTGAGCCAGAGTAGGCGTGGCATTTGAACATGGCACGGAACTGGTTACTCGTGGAATATTCCAGTCTGGGACAACTGTCATCTTGTTCTGTGTTGGACAGAGACACGACAACAATTGTGTCAAGATGAAAATATCTCACCAGAAGCATAGACACCTTCAGGTTAAGTTGAAGCATGCGGCCAACTTCCTAACGTTGATTTATAACACACTAACGTGCACTATATTCATTGCATATGTGACACTGAGTATCAGATTTAACAGTTTTTAGGCCCACTAAAACATACTAAACCATAACGAAACCATATACATTCCAGGTCAACCTTCCCGTCAGCTGGACGCTTTGCAGGACACTGGTTAGGAGACAACTCAGCGGGGTGGGAAGACCTTCGCACCTCCATCATTG